TTAGTATGTTTGCTTTTACTTTCTTTTAAGAAATTGTTCCTTTTTATTTTGCCTTTTTGTTTTCAACTTATATAAAAGATTAACTTGGTTCCAAAGTCAAATCTATTAAAAAGCTATACCCAGAGAAGTCTTGCTTGCTTCTATCCTCATCCTCTTTATCCTTTTCATCTCCATTCATACATACATATGGAAAGAGAGAGAGGCTGATTTTAAGGAATTGTGGAGATTGGCAAGTCTGAAATTTGTAGGGCTAGCCACCAAGCTGGAAGTTCAGGTAGGAGTTGATGTTGCAGTCTTGAAGCCAAATTCCTTCTTCTTTGGGAAAACTCCAGTCTTTACTCTTAGTGATGGGATGAGGTCCACTCACATTACTAAGGCTAATCTGCATTACTCAAGGTCTATTGACTTAAATGTTAATCACACCTAAAAAATTCCTCCACAGCAACATCTAGACTAGTTTAATCAAACAACTGGGCGCCATAGCCAAGATGACACAAAATTAACCATCACGTATACACATATATATTTATATTCATATGTTTGTGTGTATATATACAAACAACACACACATATACTCTTCTTGGATAAATGGTAGTTTACGATTCATGTTTTCTCTCTCTTGCTTCTTCACTTAACAATTTATTCTTCAGATCAGTGATTTATTCAGATCACTCCTGGCAGTGCACAGAAATAATCCTCACACCTTCTCTCAGCTGTATAATATTTCATTATATGGATATAACATCATGAGTTCACAGTCTCAATTGGTGGATATTTGAGTTGTTTCTACTCTTGCTCTTACAAATTATGCTGCCTTTTAATGTGCTATTACTTTGTGAAATGTATGTAAATGCCTGTGTGATGAATGAAATTATTTTGGAAACTTTGGAATTTACAGTCCTTCAACATTTGGTACTGTCTCAGTTAACATATTTGAAACACGTAGCTGCTATCACATGAGTATCTAAGAGAATCTCTAACACTTACAAGGAATTCTCATACTGGACCATCAAGCATTTTTCATGCCTGTAAGAAAATGTATGAGTAATTCTTGAGGAAAAAAATTCTCTCTCTAATTTTTTACTTAATTTTTCTTAATTAAATGGGTAATACAAAATGAGATATAAACTACTGATGATTATACTTCCTATATAATAACAAGACTAAACAACTTTACAAACTCAAAGCAGACTTACAACGTTAATAAATTGAATTCAACAGTTATCCATTGGGGATAGGAGATGGAGTCCAGAAATCAATCCTCTGAGGATACTAAGAGATGACTTTATATAAATCCTGAACATTATATATGAATATGCTTATGTATACATACACACATATTTTCATTTTAACTTTCCCCAGCACTTCACATATAGTAAGCAATAAAGTTGAGATTCAAACCCAGATCTTTCTGTTTCACTAAACCATCTAGACTAAAACAGGCCAGTGGTTTTTCATGACCTGGGGAAATGAAGATAGAAGTGGTTATGATTCACTGAAAGAACACTGGACTCTGAATCCAGTTAGCTGTAGCCCAGCTCTACTATGAACTATCTTTGTGAATTTGTACACATCTCTGAACCTCTGGATTTCTGCTTCCTCATCTTCAGTGGTAAGAGGGCCAGATTAGATCATGGCCAGGGCCCTTTATAGTTCTAAAAGTCTGTGAATTTTCTGTACTGCCAAACGTCTCTTTCACGACACAGGAATGACTTAAACAATAGTCTCCCTTTCTTGATGTGGAGTTTCTTATTACATCTAAGCATCAAAGGATGGGGTCAAAGAAGGCCTGGGAAATTATTCTGCAAATTTGGAAAGTGTCTATTCCAAATATCTTAATGCTAAAAAGATGACCATTTGATTGAAGGATATGGTTAAAGAATATTATACACTATTTTGGAATCACCACGTTGGAGTAGAAAAGCCATTTTAGAAATACTTAGTTTAATCCCTCACTTTACTGATGCAAGTTATGTGATTTCCCTCAAACTACACAGTTTATTCGTATTATAGACAGATGTATTACCTGGGTTATTAAGATCTAACGTACTAGAATGCCTCCAAAATTACCTTCTCTTATTCACCACTAAAAATACAGAAAAGGAAAGCAGTATAAGAGAGTGGTTAAGTGTAGGCTGTGAAATTAAATTGTCAGAGTGCAAATTCCAACAGCACTACTTACTGTGTGATTTTGAACCGATTATGTAATCTCTTCATGCCCCAGTTCTCTTTATCTGTAAAATGAGGGTGACAATAATTGCACATACCTCTCGTTTACCAGGAAAATTAAAATAGTAATATGTAAAAACTGTTTAGTATATTGTCTGGCACACAGGAAATAATCAAATTAGCTAGGATTAAGATTAGATTGTGTATCTGATACATTGGCTAAATTTGGTTTAATGTTTCAATTGCACTTCTTTCACTGGTATTCAGCATCAGAATTATTCTAAAATGGTCTTTTAAGAATTTTTAGTCTTTAAGATAGACCATGATAAAAGTGTCCATTATAAAGAATGAACTTTAAAATTGATTTTTTAAAAGATTTGACCCAGGTATAGGGCTGTTTTCCACTGTAGTACACTGAGGTCAAGTTATTCCCTTGAAAATCCTGTAAAAATGACTCTGAAGTCACATAAAAGTAACATCTCATCCACTGTACTTCTCCAAATTTTTGTCCCCCATTAAGCAGTCAATGACTTGATTTTTGCCAGTGTATAGACATTGCTATAACATCACCATATTTAACTGACAGTGATCAAATCCATTTAATACACTGTGTATGAATTTCAAAAGGGCTTTATGACTGTTTATCTCATCTTTATGGACCTTTAAACTTAATAGCTTTGGTTGCAATAAAGAAGTGATTTCTAAAAGTTAAGTATCTCTTCAAAGCTACTGCCAGACTGTTCAGTTGATCAAAATTATGTCATCCAGACACAGACCTCCATGTGTCCTTGATCTTCAACTTTACTAATTAACAATATGGTGAGGGACAGGGAGTGGAGGGTGAGACATAGTCCCCTGTCAGTAAATAAGGACATTGTCAAAAGAAAAATCAGTTCAGTTCAGGGAATACAAATGTTTCAGGTTTGCTCTGGTTCAATAGCTTAGGATAATATACGGGTTCCTTTAAAATGCACAGTACAATAACCCATGTTGGAGCTATACATTCTTCTCCTTCCCCTTCTGAAATGTTAAGGTCACCAGTCTTAAACAGAGAGCCCCAGAAGATTATTATCAAAAGAACTAGCCCAGGGCCAATCATTCCCTAAGCATACCTTTTCTAACCACTTATTTCCCCAGCTGTCATTCTTCTTCTCTCTTCCCATTAATAAAATGTACCAAGTCTCTCCCAACTCTTGAGACCTTCATTAATCACATCCATCGACACTAACCCACCCCACTGACATACACACAAAGAAAACACCCTCTATCAGAATGCTAATGTTTCTCAGATTCGGCTATTCACCCCCACCCGCACAGCAGCTTCCACCCACATGTATACCATGTTTTTATTTATTCCATTGGACCCAGTGCCATTCTCTCACCAGGTGGTATTTCATCTTATCCAGGAAGCCACAGTCCAAGAAGACACAGCTTCATGACGCTAGACTTCAACAGGTTTGCTAAAAGAGGCACGAACACTTCAACCATCCATCCAAAAGACACTTAGGGGGCCAAAGAGTACGTTAAGCTAGATTAATATGACCAATGATTTCAGGGATGAAAAAACTGGTGAGGAAACAATCACATTCCCTAATAAGTAACACTGTATTTCACTTTTCTAAATAGTACTGTTAAATAATCTAAAAATTAGAGCTAGAAAAAAAAATAGCTCTACCAGTCCTAACATCTATAAAATTAATTATGTGATTCTTTTCATTAAGTCACAGTGACATGGTGAGCAAACTGACAACCTCCTTAACCTCTTCAAGACTGGCATTTCTCAACCTCGGTAGTACTGATAATTTAGGCAGGATAATTCTTTACTGTGTGGGCTGGCCTGTGCACTGTGGAATGTTTAGTGATAGCTCTGGTCTCCACCCACTAGATGCCAGTAGCACCCCTCCCTCAAGCTGTGATAATCAAAAATGTCGACAGACATTGCCAAACATCCCCCAAGGGGCAAAATCTTCCCAGACTGAGGATACTCCTATGGATCAAAGAGAAGACTGCTTGTCCTAGAACAGGGATTGGTAAACTACAGTCCAAAGGCCAAACTGAAACTCACTGTCTGTCTTTATAGATAAAGTTTTATTGGAACACAGGCACATTCATTCACTTATGTACTGTATTTTTTATGCTACTTTCTCACTGAAAAGAGCAGGCAAAGGGTGGTGACAGGTATTATACAGTCCTTAAAACCAAAAATATTTACTATCTGGCTCTTTAGGAAAAAGGTTTGTCAACCCCCACACTAGTCCACTGATTTCAAACATTTCTTGTAGTAATGACAACTTTTGATAATGAAATCTTACATAAAAATTGTGTCAGACAGGGTACAGATGGAACTTTCAATTTAGTAATTTGCAAAACTAAAGCATATGCAGAGTAATTTATATAGGCAATTTCAAACATGTGACAGAGTATAGAGAAAATCACAAAGGGCTAAAAAAAGTTGGGCATTATTATCGTCTCTAGACCTGAAGGGGAGAGGGCCAAGATCAATACCCTGGACATGATGATTGGTTGAGAAATAGGAACATAAGTGAACATAATAGGAACATAAGATGCTTTCCACTTCCAGAAATGAAGCTTTTTAATTTTTTCCTTACATGACCCTTTTTCTTTTCTGTGTGTTTCATATGAAGCTACAGGCAGAGTCAATCCAGAGAAAGCAGAACTGAGAGAGGTATCTTGGTGATGTTATTTGAACCTTGGATCAAGCCAAGCCTGAAGCTTCCCTCTCATTTTACTTTTTGCAATTGAACCAGATTAATCTTCCCAAGGCATCATGTTGATTCCTAAAAGCTCCTTAGTGACTGTGGTCAGTGAAATCCCAATCAGTGGTCTGATGTTAAAGTGATTTCATTACCTGACACTAATTCACACCCATCCGTGCTTGTTCTCAATGAGTCCCTTTCCTATCCCTCATGCTGTAGCTCCAGCTCCACTTGGCGGGGGGGGGGGGGCATGGAGCACAGGGAGGGGTGGAAAAGGAGCTTCTGCTCATATTTTTTCCTATTAGAATAATTTATCTCATGATCTTGACATTTTGATACTCTTCATAGCCTTAAGCTTTACCATAAATGCCCTCACTATTCATAACAAAGAAATCAATATGTGCTTCTTTTAAATTCATATGATCATCAGTTTTTAATGTTCCCATGGTACCTGCCATTTACCACTTTTTGTTGCAAACTCTGTTATAAATTCCTTATGGACAATGCCCATGAGTCATATAAAAACATTTATTGAGTTCCAGGTTCTGGATAAGGACAATAATGATAATGATTAATGAAGAGGAGGAAGAGGAGGAACAAGTAATATTTTTTGAGTATGGCTTTTGTATGAAGTCCTAGTCTAAGTATTTTATATATATTGTCTCATTCAATCTTCACAACAACCACATGAAGCAGGTTGTCTGTTTCTCCCATTTTACATATAAGAAAATTGGAGAACAGAGATTAAATAAATTGCTCAAAGTCTCACAACTTGTAAATAACAAAGTCAGTATTCAAACCCAGGAATTCTATACCTTTGTAATGTAACAGGAGGTTCTCTGAGCAGAACAACTCCCAGCCCCCACCTTCTCACCTGTTAGGTAAGCCTTACTTTCTAGGCAAAGAAAAATAAAGCAGCAAGTATTCATAATGGCCAAGAACTAGAGACAATCCAATGCCCTCTAACAGGAGAATTGATTTTAGAAATGTGATCTATCCAGAATGGAATATTATTCAACAATGAAGAGAATGAACTACTGATACATGTAACAACATGGATGAATCTCCAGATCACAGTACTAAGTGAAATAAAATAGTGGCAGAAAAGTATATAATGTATGAGTCCATTATATAAAACTCTAGAAACTATAAACTAAACTATACTGAGAGAAAGCAGATCAGTGGTTGCCTGGGGTTAAACCAGGCTTTAGGGGTAGAGAGAACTTTTAGGGTAACAAAAATGTTCTGGATACTGATAGTGGTCGTGATTTCACAGAATACACACTTGTCAAAGTTCATTGAATTGTGCCTTTTAAATGCATGCAGTTTACTACATGTAAATTATATCCCAATAAAGCTGATTTACATCATTAAAATAACAAAATAAAACAAAACAAACAAAAAACCTAGGCATTCCACCACCAGAGGCTGGAGTCAACTACTATGCTAACTCCTAGTGTTTTTTATTTAGAATACACTTTCAGGCACTAATATTTGTAACGTTTATAAATTTGTTTAACAAAGAATTTCAAGTGTCTCTTTAGTAAAAATAATTCAACCCCAGAAAGCATAATCCCTACTCAGTTATCACAGTAGCTAAAAATACTTCAATGTTACATTTCACCAATTGGTCAAAATATTTTAAGTAACATAAATACATACATTTTTGCAGTCTGAATTTTTATTTTTAATCCAACTATATTTGGCATTGCTATGGTCAGAGGAGATGTTTTATACTTAGCCTTAGAACACAGAAATTGTTCTGACCTAACATATTCATGAAAAATGATGTGTGTGTGTGTGTGTGTGTGTGAGAGAGAGAGAGAGTTTGCTGGACATTATGCATACATGGTTATGGATAGAAAAAGGAAAGCAGGCAAAGGGCCAGAAAAATAAGCAATAAAATGTCCTTGGTGTGTGGTCAGGCATGAAGTTGTAGCCTGGGCCTTCAATGGCTCCAGCAATGAGTTAATAAGCCTATAAAGTATGTGTCATTTTAGATGTTCAGAGGCCAAAGCACTTGAAACAAAGTGATTTACATGACCAAGTTCCCCTGAGTCAGGATCATGTTCTTATTCCCCAAGATGCCTTAAATATTTAGCAGAGCCACCTGTACTATTGAGAAAATACTCTCCACAACGCTGTCAAGACCAACTCCATACACAGTACTGTAAATGACACTGAATAAAATAAAAATGAAATGGTTTATATTGGATGACAATCTAATGTTCCTCCCACCACCTCCCCAGACTACAAGCCATAAAGTAAAGAGTAGATGCTTTTTATTTGTGTTATGAGCCAGCAAGTTTGACCATTTCTTTCTAGTCAGATATGTTTATTGGGGTTGA